ACACCTTTTACTTTGCAGAATTTGCTACAATAATGTCTCCTTAATATTAATAAAATGGTAAAAGGAAATTGAATGTCTGTGGGCAAAATATATCTGGTCATGCATCATTACCCAGTGTGGAGCTTTTTAGTAAATGTAGGGGGTAGATTTTTAGATCTACCAATAGTAAATCAGTGGCCTATAGTGAGAATAGAATAGAATTAAATTTAAAATTAGGAACACATTGTTTCACAAGAAACTGTACACAAATTGCTTGAACTCCTTTCAGATTTTATTCATATTTTTCCCAAAAGTTGTTCTCTACCATAAATTAAGGCTATTATACATCTAAAACCTTAGCCAGTGGTATCCCACACATGGCCTCTGAGCTGTATGCAGATTATCTGAGGACTGTTCTGACACAAGCAATCATCCAACACTGCTTTTGAATAAGTTATACTGAGAAACATATACTAAAGATTTCTTCACAGGAAATCTGTCTCCTGTGAATATATTACATGTGCATCATTACAAAAGTTTTGAGGCACACAAATCTCAAGAAATGTAAAATCCGAGTGGACAGAAACAAATGAAGCCCTCCCAGCAACACCAATAGGCAGAACAAGTTGAACTTGCACAGATGAATCAGAAAGGATGCTGTTGACTGTGTTTCCTGGAAGTAAATCATGGAATGTGACACTGCCTGTCAAGAAACTTTCGTAGTGATCCACATATTAGAGATTTCCTCACAGGAAACAGAGTATTAGAGATTTGCTCACAGGAAAAATCCACATTCAGAGTTTGTGTTTTAATCACTATTTGGCTGTGAAAATGTTCTCTATACCTCTTGTTATGATCCTATTTGCTTTTTTTGTTGTTGTTGTCACAGTTTTTGGCTGGGGCTGGGCTTGAACCCGCCACCTTTGGCATATGGGCCCAGGGCCCTACTCCTTGAGCCACAGGTGCCGCCTTCCTATTTGCTTTTTTTGGAAACTTTTTTACTGTCAAATATTAACATCCAGTTTCTGCTATTAAGAAATCTTGGCCCCTTTCCTCTGTGCTGTAAGTAATATTTCTAGAATATACTGCATCTTTAAAATATTGAGTGTTATTATATTAGCAGGCTGGATCCCTTGATGCCACTCTGAGTCCAGAGCTGCAAGTGCTTAGGGTACCTGGGGCTGTCAGCAAATCATTGGCCCCATAACCTTCAAACTTGTCCTTCAAATGTCTCATGTCATCCCACTTAGCCACTGAATCCCACACACTTGGTTCTCTTTTAATGCTAATAGAATTTTCTTGTAGGAGATATAAGAATTTCTTAATCTATTCAACACTTAATGAATATTGGGATTGATTCCACTTTTTAATAACCATTAGCAAAACTGTTATGAACATTTGTGTACAAGTCTTTGAAGATGTGTTTTCATTCCTTTTGGGTAGTTTCTTAGGAGCATATTTATTGGCTAACATGGTAAATTTATGTTTAACTTTTTTGTTGATTTTTTTTTTTTTTTGCAATTTTTGGCCTGGCCAGGTTTGAACCTCCACCTCAGTATATGGGACCGAAGCCCTACTCCTTAGAGCCACAGGCTCCTTATGTTTAACTTTTTAAGATCGCTTGAATTATTGGCAAGTACATTCATTTCTTTCCAATTGTCAGAATACCAAATGTCTCAGTTCAAGAAGAGAAACTGGTTAGCAAACAAAAAGGAAAAACTCTGCATACTGACAAGCATGTTCTTTTTAAACTGAGCCTCCAGGCTCCAGAAATAAAGCCCTCTGCTGACAAAACGATGGAGCCTATCAATTACTTCCAGTTATACTAGCTGTCACAAAATGGCCTAAAAAGAGGTTCTGTGTTGGAATTCAGTGACACTCTCTGGATGCCAATCCTACCCGCTTATGTTCTAGGGGCTTAAAAGTGTTGGACCAGTGGCAGGTTGGCATCCACACTGGGCAGTTTAGGTGAGCCCAGGAAAATCTCTGGGCATAAGCAGGCTTCAACCTGCAGCATCATCCATGGGAAGCATGGAGGCAGCCATACTTAAAACCCTTGTGATGGAAGTAATGCAAAGTACCCTTGATTTGATCTCTCTTTTTTTTTTAATTTTATTGTTTGGGATTCATTGAGAGTACAAAGAATTGGTTACACTGATTACATTGGTTAGGTAAAGTCACTCTTATAATTGTGTCCTGTATAAATTCACATTGTTATAAAATAGATATCCACAGTGGTTTCATTCTGCAAATCTAAAATTCTACAAAACAACTCCCCTTTCTCCTCCCCTCCCCATTATTGGTAATCACCATTCTGTTTCTATAAATCTACCTACTTTAGATCATTTATGTAGGTGGAATCATACAGTAAATGACTTCACTTAGCATAATGTCTTCAAGGTACACAAACACTGCAGCAAGTCACATAACATCAACATCCTTGAAGTCTGAGTACTATTCCATAGCATGGATTTATCACATTTTTTTTAACCCATTCAGCTGTTTATGGACAAGAGTTGCTCCCAGTTCTAGCATTGTGAGTAATGCTGCTATTACAATCACTCACACATGCATGTGAAAAATGAAACACAACTATAGCCTGGGATGACAGAGGGAAGGGGAGGGAGAAGGTAAAGGAGGTGGGTGGGGTTGATAGTGGGAGGGTTAGTAGGGGGACTACACCTATGGAGCATATTGCAAGGACAAGTTGAATCTATCAGGTGTAGAGCACAAATGTCTTAATTCTGTAATTGGGTAAAAGTGGTGAAGGCTAGGTTGTTTAGTAGGATGTTAGCACTCCAATTTGTACAAATAATCAACACATTGAATCCCATCATGGCATAAATGTATTTATGATCTATGTACAAATGACTGGATAAAAAAAAAGAATAAAAACTTAAGAGTTAAGAAATAGGCAAGGGCCTTGGATAGACATTTCTCCAAGTATGAGATAGAAATGGCTAATGAGTATATGAAAAGTTACCTAACATCACTAATCATCAGAGAAATTCAAATCAAAACCACAATGAGATAGTGCCTCACATCCATTACAATGCCTTCTGACAAAAGCACAGCAAGTAAAACAAAACAAAAAAACACAGAAAGTAACAAGTATTGGTGAGGATGTAGAGAAATTGGAAGTCTGTGCCCTATTATTGGGATCATAAAATGGTGTAACTGCTATGGAAAACAGTGTGGAGTTTCCTCCAAAAATAGAAAACAGAATCACCATATGATCTAGCCTTTTGACTTTTATTATATTGCCAAAGAAAGCAAACCCTTTGTTTGACTTCTTAACCCAAGAACATGGGGGTTCTTATTGGAATAGTGACAACTGTAGACTTCTTTTTAGATTCTGACTGACCTTCTATTTGCCTTAGGGTCTGTTCAGTGCAATCTCATGATGTTTAACCTAATTTTCTCCACGGCACTATCCCAAACCTATCCTGCCTTTTATCAGAGCACCTCAGTCATTTGTCCTTCTATACTACTGTCCTCTAATCCACCTTCTAAGATCAGGTGACACTCTTCTAGACTTTCTGGGAAGGAATTTTGACGTTCTTTTTTTTTTTTTTGAGACAAAGTCTCAAGCTTCGGCCCTGGGTAGGGTGAAGTGGTGTCACCGCTCACAGCAACCTCCAACTCTTGGGCTTAAGTGATTCTCTTGCCTCAGCCTC